TACATAAAGAATCTATTCCATGGGTAAAGTCACTACCACACAAGGTTAGAAATGATTTTAAACAATTGAGCCTGGCAGTGATTCGGAAGTTTGGAGAATATTCGACACTCACTGAGGGGTTTTATGCTGTAAAATCGATGACCCAGGGCATGGACCAAGATCCACGTGACTACCTCGTCCAATTTAAAAGAGCGTATTACGCAGGCGATGTGAATCAATACCACGAAGGGGATAAAATGTTCAAAATTATGTTTTTTGAATCCTTGAGCCCAGAGATTACAGAAAGGGTGAGGATGGTTTTGAATCCAGAAACCGCATCCTTACGCCGCATAGAGAGCAAGGCGTACATGGCATGGTTATACAGAGCTAAGAATCATAATTCGGATCCAGAACACAGGGAGAGGGATGAGGAACCCAGCCTCTCAGAGAGGAATAAAAATCACCGAGCAGTCCCACAATGCAGGACGGAGCAGAAACGCACGCACACATGGCAAAATAACCCAGAGAGAGGGTCGCACGAGAATGAGAGCGGCACAAAGCCGAACATTCAGGAGAATCGCAGGAGGGGGAGGTTCAGAATAGAACCATACCAACACCCCATGCCACGACACACACAAGATCAAAATTACCCACAAAGATGGCGAGGTAACAATCCAGGAAAAATTTGGCACCCAAATGGGAGAAATACTGGGCTAAAAATGTACGAGAATCGCAGGAGGGAGAGGTTCAGAGCAGAACCATATCAACACCCCATCCCACGACACACGCAAGGTTCAAATTACGCACAGAGATGGGAAGATAACCACCTAGCGGGAAGGTGTTACACAGACCGCGGAGGTATGGATGCGAACATTCAGGAGAATCGCAGGATGGGAGGTCAAACACAATCGATCCAATTCCGACCAATTCCTCCACCGGCTATACCAGGAGGGAATAGAGGAATAACACAGAATGCGGTCCAAATACGTGATGAACCATCCACAGTGATTGAGAGCGGGCAGCCCATACGCGCCACGCACGCTGAAGTTTTGTTAAACCCTGAGCTCATTGGGAAATACAGGGCGGGCAAAAACGTGGACAGTGCTCCCGTAAATGACGCGCGGATCGAATACAAGGACAGGGTTGCATTGAAGCGTGATCGGACAGTACAAAAACAGACAGCAGGGACACACCCTGAGGAGCGCAGGCATGAGCCTTTGAATGGAAAATATCCAAGGGAAACCAAAAATTATGTGGATCGGAGTGCTAAAATGGAGACGAATGTCCATGACGTATCGGGAATGGTGTTGAAATCCAACACACTTGTAAAAACAAAGAGGGCAACATTACGAGGGACAGAATTAAATCGACACACTGACTCGGCAAATGTGCATGTAATCGCAGAGAGAGCGAATGCCTCGAACCAAGTGTCAAAGTGGGTCGTGTGCGCGAATTCTGGTTATGTGCAGCACAATTTTTCACCACACACTCCCACGACGCGAGAGAGTGAGAGAGGAAACTACAAAAACGAACCCGAAAACCGTGATCGAATTATCAAAGTGATAAGTGGTAAACGAGGCAACATGAGGAAGGTAACGCATACATGCGTTCGAAACCGCTACCTAGCGTTTCCCAGGATTTAACAAAAACAAAAATGAATGTTCGTCAGAGTTATGATGTATGAGAACCGATGTAAACGCAATATCGATGTTAACGTGTTGTTATTTTCTTTGCTTATTTCAGATGTAACCAGGTTAAGATTGTAATACGTGCACGCGCGTCGTAAGAAATAACCGCCGAGAGTAAGGGCGGCTGATGGGACTCATGACATAAAAAGGGGGCATTACTTTGTTTGAAAATTCGCCAGTGGCCAAATCGACCCCTGATAATTTTCAAACGGGCGGACTGTTGTGTATGTACCCCCTTTTTATTTTTTTTAATATTATTTTTTTTTTTAAGAATTATTCTGCCAACATAGATAATATCGTTTTTTTTAATAGACGCGGCCACGTGGGAACGAACACGCCCCCACACTTCCACAGAGGCCCCCACATTACCACAGATGTGCGCACACCTCATTTCAAAGGAAAGAGGACATGAAAGGGGGGGCACTAAGGTAATAAAAACTCCCCTAAATTCACACAAGAGGAACAAGGGAGGGGGGGGGGGGGAATTGCAGGCGGGGGGGGGGGGGTCAGCAGGACATCGTTTTGTTAAAAAAACCAGAACCAGACACGGAGGAAGAGATAATTATATTCTTAACAAAGAAACAGCATTGACGACAAAAAGCACAGATGGGTCTTTGAACCATGTTAAATACACAAGTTACCAACTTAACCATAAAGATTAAGCAAACAGTATCCATCCTCACTCCAATTGAAAACCAGACAAAAATTGCACCAGAATCGCGACCCATCATTGTTAATTAAGTACTGACATTATTTACCTTTAAAGAATATCTACACGGCCGGGCCGAAGCATCAAAGAATAATTATGGCATCTATTTCGCTCCAAAACAAATTCCTAGCCGGGATATCAGATCAAATAATCACAAGAAGTCAAATAATAAGTACGGAATTAAAGTAGAAGAGGAATCAAGGGCGGAGAAGGCTCTCAAAATTAACCAAACACAACACCCATGGGAAGCGAGCAACACGGCCGCCTTTGTCTTTCCGAGAGGATCTCCACACACAGGCACCAAGCCAGGAAATGACACCCATAAAGGTTGGGGCAAGGGCTCATAGGAAATTAACACACGCCTTCGAATAAATAAGCGCATGCGCCGGATGCTCCCACCATGGAAACAACCGCCTTTGTCTCCCCACAACACGGACAGCAAAAATTGCACACGCGAGGAAATAACATTTCCATGAGAGATCGGGTCACGATGAAACATCGTGAACACTGTTTCGGCATAACTATGCAGATGGAACCAAGCAGCAAATAAGTTGCATTTCAACTTCCAAACCAAACCAACTTAAGCTGTGTGAGACAAAGGATGTGATCCCAGAGCAAGGGAGGGAATAATTAAGCTCGCTTAACGCGTGGGTTTTCGCGACAAATATTATTCAGTAACAAAACATGGATTCGAATGTTTTTTTTTATAACTCGACGCGAATCATCGGTCTGGCTAATGGATAACTTCGGCGGCGCCGTCACGAGGCCCCCACCCCCACCCCTTTCTTCCAGAACGACGCACATCTGTGTCTTCAAAGCTAATAAACACACGGACAAACACGCACGCGAAACACACGGACGGACACACACACGGACGCAGATGGTTCAGCCCACAGGAGGGTTTTATGACACAGCTTTTGAACAACTCGGGAAGCCGAGTGGAATTTTCCGATATAAACCAAAGGAAAATCCATACAAAGCATATCATCCGGGCCACGAGCTCCAACGCAGATCATCCGGGCTAAGGCCCCACCAGAGTTCTCCAGGGCGACAACCATCTCTCCTCGTCGCCGCCAACGAAGAAGCTCCTGTCATTCAGAATGACGAGGGTCGCGGAGTAGCGACGCGTAGCTACAAGCCGAGGTCTGCACCACCTGAGAAGAATCGCTACCCTGAGTCGCAGAGCTGCGAGTGAAGCCAACAAAGACGCCAACGTCCACCCTGCCACGAACGAAGCATCGCTCCTCGTCAGAGTGACGACCAGCGAACAACCCGCAGGAAAGGCGGAGATCGCTGAACGAGCGCCAACTTGCGCCACCGTGCGCCACCAAGCGACAACGAGCGACACCCAGATCGACCAGCATCAACCCAAACCGACACGTCATCCCGCCGTGGAGAAAAAGAGTCAAAGTCTTCTGAACGAGCGCCGCCGCTCACCTCACAGCGGAGAAAGTCTTAGCTGCCGCTCGCACAGACAGCAGAGGTCGTATCGCTCCCCACATACAGACTCAAGAAAACACAGAGAAAATCTTGTCAAACCAGTTTCCTTTGTCCCAGAATCTCGCCGAAGAATTAATTAAAACAGAGCCAGATTCGCTCTCGCGCCCACACGCCCTCACCCACCATTGTATCAAACATTCCGTTAAGAGGATTTTTATACTTGCCGATGAATCTATTGACATATACTTTCGCCTCTTGGGTATAATAAGTGCTATATTACCGCCATAGGAAGTGTGTCATGCTTGTTTTCAAACTCGACCAGTCGCCGATTGTGATCGATACATGGGCGAACTAATGAGATGCCTGGTAGGAAAAGTAGAGGTTACAATTGATAGAAGTGTTTTTAGTCATTCAGTTCGTTAAATGCATAAGTGTTTATTCATTCATTTTAGTCAAATGCATAAGAGTTTCGTTATTCATATTGCATAATTGCATAATTTCACAAATGCATAAGTGTTTATTCATTCATTTTAGTCAAATGCATAAGAGTTTCGTTATTCATATTGCATAATTGCATAATTTCACAAATGCATAAGTGTTTATTCATTCATTTTAGTCAAATGCATAAGAGTTTCGTTATTCATATTGCATAATTGCATAATTTCGCAACTGCATAAGTTTTGTCGTTCATATTAGTTAATTGCATAATCTTGCCCATGAATTATTGACGCATGTTTGACCTGCATGATAGAATGTCACGTGTTTGTTAGAATAAAATTGTTAACACAGAAGCATATTGAGTGTTCTTTCCAAGTCCATGCAAAACCATCTTATTCATAAGAGCTGTATCCTGTGATGAGATATGAACTGGTGACCTAAAATATTATAACACACACTAGGATAATCGGTAAATGAATCGATGATAATCGTGTTATCCTGATTGATATAACCCTGGATAAACGAAACCAAGCCTAATTAACATAACTACACACATTAACATAATCGCAAGCTTCCGCATAAATTGCTACGATTATCATAATTTATGCATATAATCACACGCATTATCATAATTTACGCATATTAATACACACATTAACATAATTAATGCGATTTGCGCATTTTTCGGAAAATTATTAATTTTTATTATTTTCATCAAAATTTCATAATTCCAACACATACAACACCTCTCGTGCTGCAGATTGCGCAGGCGAGCGGCCGCCGCCTGGAGCTTGCCTATTTCCCGCTTGTGACGAGCGATGTAATTCTTGATCCGGGACAGCAGCTCGCCGTCCTTCACGGCCACGCGATGGAGAGCCTCCCGCTCGTCCTCATCCAGAGCCTTCATTAGGCAGGCAAACTTGCCCGTGATGCGACCCCTGATCCCGGCCACTGATACCTGAGGAGACGAGGGGACCACGGTTTGCTCCCTGAGCCATGAGCCACTCCGTTTGTGCATGTGGGGGCCGCGGTGGCTAGGAGATGGTGACTCCCTCGCCTGGTATCAGCAGGTCGGGGTTTTGATCCCGACCCTGACGCCTGTATATTTAGAATTTATCTCTGTAGTCGTATGGATTTTCCGTGGGTCTTCCGGTTGTTGCCTCCACATTTAGAATCAACGTCGCGCGTTTAGAGTATTTGGCTACTATCAATTTCAACATTACAATCAGCCACTTTGTTGAGCTATCATTTGTAATAGCCGGGTCGTTTCTGAAAAAAAGAACTACATAGCTCAGTGGAGCCTTTCCTGGTAAAATAAGAAAAAATAGTTTAGTCTATGGGTCTCTTTGTATCTCTGTGCCCCTATACGTATATATCTATGGGTCTCCATAGGTCTCTACGTATCTCTATGGGTCTCTTTGTATCTCTATGTGTTCCTATGTATCTCTATGGGTCTCTATAGGTCCCTGTGTATCTCAAGGCGTTTAGATTATTTGGCTTCTGCTGTCAATTTCCACGTGATGATAATGGTAGCCATTTTGTTGATCTGTAATTTGTGATTGCCTCGTAACTTCTGAAAAAGAGCCTTACAGCTAAGTGGGCCTTACCTAATAAAATTATAAAACAATATTCCCTAGTGGTGAATCATGCCTCAGTGACGAGGCGCCCATGGGACTGAGTCGATCCATGCCAAGGGGGCAAGAGGGGTGCCGCTCTTTTCTTGTTTCTACATTAGAGGGTGCTGGGGTCGTGGATGTTGAGACTCGGGCACTCGGAGTGGGGTGGAGGCCCCCTTGTGGGACCGACGAGATGTGGCGAGATGTTAACTACCTCGCCTGGTGTACAGGGGGTCGTGGGTTCGATCACGACCCTGATGCCTGCGTGGATTTTTCTCCGGTTTTTCCCTCAACATTTAGAATGGGCGTAATCCAAGTCGGGTTTTCCCACGAGTCCGACTTGGGTTTAGAGTCCAAGGCATTCGTTATCTGCTGTGAAGAACCCACAGAGCACAAAATTGTCTCCGGGTTCAAGCAATCGTTTAAAGTACAGTATTTAGAGTATGTTGCTACTATTAATTTCCACCTGATAAGCCATTTCATTGACCTATCATTTGTGATATTCAGGTTCATTCTGAAAAAGAGCTACATGGCTCAGTGGGGCCTTACTTGGTAAAATAAAAATAGTTTAGTCTATGGGTCTCTATTCATCTCAATGTGTCCCTCTGTATCTCTATGTATCCCTGTGTATCTCTATGGGTCTCTAGGTATTTCTATGGGTCTGCTATATTTTTCTGCGTGATGTTGTCAGCCACTTTGTTGAGCTTCTATTATTTGTGACAGCCAGCGTAGCTTCTGAAAAAATCTACATAGCTCAGTGGTGCCTTATTTGGTAAAATAAAAATAGTTGTAGTTTAAATAAACTCCAGTGACGCGATTAGGGACGGCGTGAGGTGCAGCTATGCGGTGTTCGTGCCTCTGCGTCCGTGCCGGTGCACGACCTCCTGTGCAGCGCAACAGCTGCACCACAGATCCACGCAGACAATCCGTGGCACTCTCTATACTTTTTTTCCCACAGGATGGTAAGACGCGATGCTGAGTAACTCGACTTTTCGGCAGACTCACTGATGCGGCTATCAAATGCTGTAAACGTGCAACCCCCTTGTAGTTGATGTTGAGTTTGATAGTGAATTATTTAGTGATAGTAAGAGGAGTCAAAGTTATGAAGCTGCACGAAGTTCGCTTGAATTAATTTTGACCTCCACGACTTCCACGCTGGGTTGAGGTCACGGGGGTCAAAGAGCCAGACCCGGATACGGTACCTGGGCCTTCTTGCGAGCGGCCTCCATCCTCTTCATGCACTTCTTCGCTTTCTTCATTTTATTCTCCACCGCTCGCGTCTCTTCCCCTAAGCGCGTCTGCAGTGAAAAAAGAGACGTCGCCTGGGGAAGACTCCATCCCTCTGAGCCACCCCTCACACCGCCCTTCTCTCCACACTGACCCCTCCACAGGGAAGGCCCTCGTCTCCACGCTGCCTCTCTATGGCGATTGAGATGGGGGGAATGGGGAGTGGGCAAGCTGATGCCTCGTTGTAGCAGCAGCCAGTGGGAGCCGTGCTGGCTTGGTGTCTCTACCGACTCGGACCCAAGAGCCCATGTGCCCACAGATGTCTAGTTTATAAGATAAAACTAATATAATTTTCTATCTGGTGGCAGTGACAATGGTCTCAAATATCTATCCACTGAATTCCGTTATATGGCATTTAGTTTTAGTGAGAGCCTGGTATGCAACCAGGAGCTGATCCGAACAGGCAGGGACAGATAAAAAGAGAGAGAGCATGAACACACAATTACGTTTTTTTCATCAGATGTTGTGCAGCCCAGTGACAGAATTGGACCGTTCATGTTGTGGTGTCTCACTCTGAGGGCCTCACCTGCCGTGTCTCGTGCTTGTCCTGTAGCTTCAGAACCTTGTGTCCTGTGTGTTCTCCTGCGATGGTGCAAGTTGAGCAGACCAGGCTGTTGTCTACTGTGCAGTAGAATTCCAGCTCTCTGCTGTGCTCCCGATACCGTCGCTCATCCACGTTCGCGATGGGAGCCACCAGGACGTGGTCACTCAACCTGGGATTCTCCAAGTGAGGCTTCAAGTGTGTCGCACAGAAGGACATCTCACATCTCATGCAGGTCTTCACTGCAGGAGTGTGGCCACCATTGCAGTTGTCACACACGACAGCCGCGGCCATCTCATCTCCAACTCTGAGCTGCTCCACCAGGTTGGCGAGGGCCACGTTCCTCTTCAGCTGGGGTCGCACAAGGAAGGTCGCTCGGCACTGCGGGCAGCTGAAGCTGCTCGTCGTCTCCCAGGCGGCCTCCAGGCACCGCAGGCAGAACGAGTGTCCGCAGCTCAGCGTGGAGGGGCAGACGAACGTCTCCAGGCAGATGGAGCAGCGCAGCACCCTATCCACACTCTCACTGGGAGTCGCGCTCGCCATGACCGATGGCTTCACTCAGGTCGCTCGCTGTATCGCTCAGAGAGACGCTGGACCAGGACCTCTCTCTGATAGCGACGATGAAGAAGGAAATAAAATATTTTAATTGTCACCGAAATCACGAGTCACTGCTTGGAATGTGAACTCGCACCCCGAGGTGTGCAAACAGCAGCCTCAAGGTGAACACGGCTACTGTACACACCTTGACATTTAAAGAAATGAGTGCTGTTGTTAATATAAATCGGTGAGGCTCAGCTGTGGTGGCTCATTCGTGAGATGAGTGTCGAGAGATAAACTCATCCTTCTACAGCAAGTTGGTGGCAAGATGTTATCCCCCTCGCATGGTATACAGGAGATGGTGGGTTTGATCCCGATCCTGACGCCTGCTTTATATTTTAAGTTTGCGTCTCTCTCTCTCCTTGGTCGTGTGAATTTTTATCCAGGTCCTCCGGTTTTTTCCCTCCGCATTTACAATCAACACCACGTGGTTAGAGTAGTTGGCTGCAATACATTTTCACGTGATGAGCCATCATTTGTGGCCAGGTCGTTTCTGAAAAATAGCTACACAGCTCAGTGAACCTTACCTGCTAAAATTTAAATATATAGTTGGCATAGTTGTAGATATCTCATGATGTCCTGTAACTCCATCTCCGTGTAATTACCACAACGTGACAAGTTGCTTGAATGTCATCGTGGCATCAGAAAAAAAAAGTTGCGTGTAGCCTCCCGTGACAGATCCTGGAATCTTGAGCCTTTTGCTAGCAGTGTGAATCTATCACCAACTCTACCTGCCTCCATCACCCACTGCTGGCGATGTCACCGTCTCTCACTCTCACCTCGTCCGAGACTGCAGATCCCCGTGCCGACCATTCACAGCCGCACCCACCGCTTACTTCACCTGCGTTGTTGTTTCACATTCACACGCACGAATACTCAACACGCATGCACACGCAGCAACACAGATGCCCATCGGTGTTTACCATTATTGTGAAAAAATAAAAATAAAACTCAACTATTTTCATTTTACCAGATAAAGTCCACTGAGCATTTAGCTTATTTATCCGAAGCGACCTGCCCATCACAAATGACAGCTCAACAAAGTGGCTCATCATGTTGGAAATGCATAGCAGCCAAATAATCTAAATACTGCACTCTAAACGCTGCAAGAACCCGGAGACGCTCTCTTGGGCTCTGCAGGTTGTTCACAGCAGATAACGAATGCCTTGGACTCTGCACCCCAGTTGAACTCGTGGGAAAACGCGAACTAGATTTCACTGAACACACGGCCTGGACTCGTCTGCTTTGCTTCCTAACGGAAAAAAAACGCGGCACTGCGTTTGAAAGCTTCCTTCTACCAGGTCACCAATGCGAGCGAAGGGGGTTCACACGATGTCCACGGGTCATTCCTCGGTGCAGCAGCAGCAACAACGGCTCAGTGCTAAGTGAGGCGCAGTGGCTCCAGGCCAGGCAGGCAGCGCGATCCGCCGCGGGGTTTGCAGCCAACAAATCCTCGCAGTGTCCCGGGAGAGCCGGTTAGGTGACAACTCAGCACCCCTCGGGTGCCAAGCAGCCCACACCCGCCTACGCATTCGGTTACACTCACACACTTACACACTCACTCACACACTCACACACGCACTCACTCACTCACTCTCACTCACACGCTCACACTCTCACACTCACTCACTTACACACTCACACACTCACTCTCTCACTCACACACTCACTTACTCACTCACTTACTCACTCACACACTCACTCACTCACGTACACACTCACACACTCACTCACACACTCACATACTCACTCACACACTCACACACACTCACTCACACATTCACTCACTCTCACACTCACTCACACACTCACTCACTCACTCTCACTAACTCACACACTCACTTACACACTCACCCTCACACTCACTCACACACTCACTTACTCACTCACTCACTCACGTACACACTCACACACTCACTCACACACTCACATACTCACTCACTCACACTCACACACTTGCACACTCACTCACACACTCACTCATTCACTTACACACTCACTCATTCACTCACACACTCACTCACACACTCACTCATTCACTTACACACTCACTCACTTACACACTCACTCACTCACTTACACACTCACACATTCACACATTCACTCACACTCACTCACTCGCTCGCTCACACACTCACTTATACACTCACACACTCACTCGCACACTCATACACACACACACTCATTTACACACTCACTCGCACGCTCACTCACACACTCACTCACTCACTCACCCACACTCACTCACACTCACCCACTCACACTCATATAATACTGTGATCAGCTAAGACGTGTGAGAAGTTAAGTGGAGATTTGAGTTATACACCAATATTGAGTGTGCATGAAATATTGTCCAAGCTATAGGCTGGACAAGTTATGTTGACCAAGTGACCGATACTCTGACGGTAAGCGTCTTGATGAGTTCTGGAGAGAGCGAGGAGCAGTGAGACAACGGCGCACAGCAGGAGACTTCCCGAGAGAGGGGAGGGGGGACAACCAAAGGTGCTCGCGCGAAACAGGCAGCTGCTGACAAGGAACGAGGAGCAGCGTGGCCACAGAGCACTGCAACTGCCGATGGAGCCTGGCGTGCAGATCACCTGCAAGCCGTGCAGCGCAGCAGCTGGCGGCTGGCCACGAGCGTGCCGACTCGGGAGCCCCGAGCACCCTCCAGCGTGGAGCGAGCACGATGCACAGACAACGGCGCGATGGAGCGGCGAGCAGCAGGGCCGCGAGCGCACTACAACTGTGGACCAAGCCTGCCGTGCTGCAACTTCGTTGTGGGACTTGAGGTGTTGTTCAGAAAGAAGAAAAAAGGAGAAACATGAACTGTACACTCACTCAGTATTTGTAACTGTACCTTGTACATGTTGTGGGCCAAGCAGAATCTCAGCTTGCACGCCTCACACACCACAACAAGGGAATTGTGTATGGTCGTGTTACCATGAGCCAGCCTATTGTTTTATTATATTCACGTGATTGTGACATTCGATCGTTGATTTTCTTCTAAATATTTTATAAGCATTAATTTTATGAACCCATATGCCTGCATGAATACGATCATGTTGATGTTAGCTGTTTGTTTTCTTTCAATCGTATAATCTTGCAAATCTGATCGTTGATGCCTTCTAAACATTTGATAAGGATACCTTTTTTAAACGTATATTGACGTTGATACTGTTGTTGTGGGTTAGCCTATAAGTTTTCTTTGATCACGTGATCGTGAGATCCGATTGTTGATGCTTCTAACCATTTGATACGCATATTTGCGGACACGCATTCCGTACGAATATTGCTATTTTCGGGTCTGCCTATTGTTTTTATCACGTGATCGTGAATATTAGTCAATACTTTATTTTGCCATTCAACACGGATTAATGAGTAGGTATATTTGCATGGGTACTGTAGTTGGTATTAATTCCTGCTGATAAGAGTTCTGGATATTAGGTTAAGTTGATATTAAAGTTGCTTAACTTAAAAACAGGTTTCCGAGTGCTTCTTCCCTAAACTCATGCATCATTGTCGTAAAGACGAAATGTATCCTGCGGTGAGATCTGAATCCCGAGACCTGACATAAGTACACACGTAATTGTTAAAGCAATCATCATAAAATCAGAGAGAATAATTGATATCACGATTGGTGAAACATACCCCTAGACAACGAGAGAGCCAATAATCGCACCACATAATAACTGTACACACAAACACATAATCACTAACACACAATCACACACAAACATAATCATACATACATACCCCTACTCAATGAAATCACAACCATAATCGCGCGTACATATACCTAGACAACACAATCACATACACACACATTTATCTATCATTTGTTAACACACACATTCTTAATTACACTGAGCACAATTTTTGTTAATCACAATAAATTACGAACGTTCATTTATATTTTATACGTAACTGTATTTTTAAAATGTATTTTATCATGTTATCAATATCTAAGAAATCAATATATTCAACAGGGGTCAACAGACATCTGGACCTACCCTGTACAAGCCACACAATGGGATGGCCCCCACAATATTGACAGAAGTATTTCTTAACCTTTACTGCAGCCTTTGGTTCTCAAACTAAAAAATGTTTAATACTGTTAATAATGTTTAATTTAATGCCTGGGGGTTTGATAAACAAAGGAGTTGTACTTACGTGCCCGTACTTAATTTGTGTTTCGATTATTTACCTTCTAAAAAAGTCTGGCCACGTCTCACACCCCCCAGAAAGGGCATCTCGCACGCCCAGGGGGTGCGTGCATGCCAGGTTAAGAACCACTGTCTACAGGGACCGATCTCCGCTCATAAACCAACGAGACCCCTAAGGCCTACGGGTCATCTCCTTCAAAGGATTCCGAGGCTAAGGCTCTGTTCGTGGGGTGATCGGCTGGGTGGGTGGGTGGGTGAGTGAGTGGGTAGGTGGGTGAGTGGGTGAGTAAGTAGGTGGGTGAGTGGTTAGGTGGGTAGGTGGGTCGGTGGATAGGTGGGTAAGTGGGTGCGTGGGTGGGTGAGTGAGTGGGTGTGTGAGTGGGTGGGTGAGTGGATGAGTGGGTGGGTGAGTGGATGAGTGGGTGGGTGAGTGGGTGAGTGGGTGGGTGAGTGGGTGGATGAGTGGGTGAATGGGTGATGGGGCTGTTGCCTGCACTGTGCAGCTCCCAAGACTGAAACGCTTTGTCTTTACGTATCAGACAATCTGAATCGTTAGAGCTGTTTTTTTACGTTTTGAAAACTCACCTCTTTAAACTGGCCTTTATCCCGTTCCCCCTGTTGGTGAGTGAGTGAGGGAATGAGTTTGTAAGTGAGATTGGTTGGTGAGTGAGGTGGGGGAGTGGGTAAGTGTGTGGATGGGTGAGTATCTGATTGAGTGGGTGAGTGAGTGGGTGAGTAAGTTGGTCAGTGAGTGTGCTCGCGGACACGATCAGATCTGAAACA